GGAAGGGTTGGGGTGAGGAGGCTTGGTTACGAAAGGATATTGGAAACGTTTGGTGATGAAAGTATAAATGAGAATGGAGAAAGCCTCCTCACCGTATGTATGGAAAAGAATATTTTTGTGACGAACACTTTCTTTCGCCACAAGAGGATTCACATGTATACTTGGGAAAGAGGTTGGATGATAGAAGCATGAAAGATTTCATAAGTGTGGATGAAATAATGAGGGATGCAGTGGTAGATACAAGGGTTCACCTGGTGTCTAACGTATCAAATACATAACATAGCTGTAGACCGTATTTCAAAAAACTACATTTTTAAGGAGATTAAAGATACACATAACAAAAATAAATTATATATACCATAGCTGAGAAGAATAAAATAGCATATGGCAATAAAAGTTTATAATAAATTACCACAGAAAATAAAAAACGTATCAGAATTAACCAAATTTTAATCAAGGCTCAGTAAACATTTAAAACAAAACCCCTTCTACTCAGTGATTTGTATTTTATAACAACAAATGTATTTGCTGTTACAAATGTATATCTATATTTATCTAGCTTCTAAGTATATTTCATATAAGGAGTGTCGGCGTCAAATTTGCAGTGCCTGAAAAGGGTGTCTAAGCGATCGTTCCATCACCACAGACACGACTATCCTTGCGAATAAGCATGATCTTGTGTTGATTAACTGGTTGCTGTTAAAGTTATATCTGGTGGATATTACCATTCCGTATTCCGCCCAAAAGGCGATCGATATGTGCGGTGGTGCTGGTGCTGACCAAAATTATTCCTATAGTCGTTCCTTCGAACGGGTCAACCTTTCGGATAATATCGCCGCCTGGGACTGTGAATGATCGTCTCGGGCTCAAATACAGAAGCTAATTTCATTTTATTTTTATCCGGTTCGGTTTTATTTATATAATTATTTCACTTCATTTTCCGTATATGATCTTATACAACATGCAATTTATTTTTACATTATGAAGACATATAAAAATGATTATATGTCTTCATAATGTATATATCCCAACCCGATGAGATTTCAGTAAAAATATCCCAAATAATTATTAATATTGATATTTTATGGAATTAAGAAACTAAAGAAAGTCATTAAGATGAACTTTATTAAATATTTATTTATTCTTAAATAAAATGAGTGACTTGAGTAACAACTATCAAATACGTCGCACATAAACTTATAAATTTTAAAATCATTTGTAGGTCAATAGTAAACATGTCGTAAATGAAAACTCGAAGCGGCGAAACTTCAATACCCTCCACAAAAGCCTTCGCTTGAATTCTCATACTTTTTGGCAGATCGTAATCCATTATTATTTTATTAACAAGAATTTTTGTACAATCTCTAATTTTAAGAATTTTTTCACATTTAAGACACATCATGCTTAGTATAGACATTTCTAAAATACTCAAAACCATTACTTTTAACAAATATCTGAGATTTTTATCTGCCTGAAATGAATACAAAGCGGTCCAAAATGTGATGATTATAAACGAAAAGGTCGATATTAATGAAGTAAAGATTAAGCAGCTAAAATTTTTATTAAATATTTGACAGAGCTCTCCAATTTGATCGTATGTTGCTGCCAAATCACAAAGTTTCCTGTTGCTTGGTGAAACTGGCCCTATGTAGTTAACACAACCATCAGTATAAATTATATCACTACGTATATGAAAAGGAAGAATTTTGTTGAATTGTTGATATTTTACAAATTTTGAAAGATACTTGTTAATTATCAGCAATCGTTCTTGAAGCATATCCGTTAATTTGGAAAAAGTAAAAATTTCCAAATTGCATTGGAAATATATAAATAAAACCACTATGTGGCCGATTCGAATTTCAATCTCATTAAACATACTGAAAATTAATACAGCCAGGAAATATCCACAGAGTAATGTTACTAATTTATTGGTTTGCAAGCGAGATTTTTTGTAAAAATCTTCGTTCATAGTAATACGTAAGATGTCATCAATTCTTCCGAAAGCCAGTAATATTCGTTTTGTTTCTTCATCCGAAAATAATTGCATTACTATTGTAATAGAATACTGAAAAAATATCAATAGACTTGGCAATAATTCAACGGCTTCGAGGAAAAATCCTGTTTTTACTATAATTCCAATACCAAAAATTAAATAATTTACTGCAAATAATAAATAAATTAAAAATCCAAACATTTTCATTTTCCAATCAACTGGAACATAATATGAATTTCCAATGACGTGAACTCGAATGATACCATAACATTTTTCTAGTAACAATAAAGGTCTTATAGAAGAGATCAAAGCATAATTTAATTTGCGATTGATATTTTCAGGAGGGGTTAGATCCATAATCCTTTTAGGTACACTTTCTGATATCACTGGAACAAAAACACTCTTATGTCTGCACACTTCTGGCAAACAATGCTCTTTGAGTAAATTTTGAAATTACTTTCCAAGAAAGTACTTATATAAATTAATTTTGTAGCTCTATTATTAATTATCATATCACGCAAGCCACAATAAAACTTAGCGCCTATTTATTAGAAATATTTTATTTTTATTTTCATTTCCTTATAGAAATAGGAAAAAAAAAATAAAATTCACATTTTTAGTTTCTTTAGAAATCTATCAGTAGGGTCTCAAAAAGAGGGTGCAAAGTTTGTATGAAAAATATTGTATTAAGGTGCATATTGCACATACATACACGTATAAAGTCTAAACGTAAAAATCTGAAATTTTGGGAGTAACTGCCTTTTAAGACGTTACAGTTTTTATGAAACTTTTTATGTTACGGGGCGATTGACTTTTACTCGTTCTCCAGTTATATAGCTGTGGACTACGCTACGGTAAAAACACCAACGTCCCTCTTCGGCGGGGAGCGCGTTGGTTGGTTGGCGCTCACCGCAAACGGCGTGTATCCCACTTACAGCCTCCCCCACATTTTTTTTTAAATATGGGAGAGCGAAGCCCTTGTATTGGGTATTTTTATATCAACAACCACAACGTAAATAACGGTCCTAACTAAGACAATCATACCATAAAAATTAAAAATGATAAACGGCCTATAATTAATCCTTAAGAAAGATCATTGAGAAAGATCAATATTTTATTATCTTGGTCATGTAATATTTAATAATGATAGGTATACAATATAGATAGAAAGTGGAGCGTCACAATACCATTAGGAGGACTGTGCCTTCCTAACTTTCCTTTACTTCTATTAAAACTAGACATTTCTAAGTGATTACTTTAATAGTATTTACACTTATGAATAATTTGAAGCAATAATTCATTTTCAACGAAGAAATAAGCGTAATATACATTAAGGTTTTGATTCCACGAAATCCAACCTTCATTATTCAATAGGCACATGCGAACTTATTGACTAATGAAGGTTTAACGCTGATGACTTCTATGACTTTTACATTATTCATAGTAGAAATAGGTTGAAACTAATTTTGTATATGCATTAATGAATCAGCTCGGTGCCATTTTGTTTAAACAATTTTTTTCAATTGTAAGTAATTGTTATCTTCAAAAGAGACAATTTTTTAATAAATTATTTTCATTTTAATTATTTAACAATATTCTTTAATAAAATACAAACAAAAAATATCTCATGATTTTTTACGATAAAGTTAATATTTTCAGTGTCTACGCCTTTTTATTGAGCAATAACATCGGATTCACTATACGACTTAATATGGTCGCAACGCACGGTCAGTTAAAGTCATCAGTTGAACTGATATCAGTTCAAACGGATTTAAGCCGAAGAAAGTTCCACACACACGGTCTATTCAACTGATGATTCCAACTGATTGATGAGTTCAAATTAGGACTGTTGATATTTTTTAAAATATCGGATTTTCGATATATCGATAATTATAAATATATCAATATCGGAGTTTCATATAATATGTATCGAAAAAAATTCGATATATCGGCTTTATTTAAAAAAACAATCAGCAAATTAAATTATAAATGTATGGAAATGTTAAATTATAGATCTTATTAATTATTTTTTAATTTAAATAATGCGATTATGTGTACCAATATTTTTCAGTAAGAGTTTTCAAAAATATGTTTTATATGTTCAGCTGTTTTATATGTTAAGAAGCACTCGAGAACAATCCGTCGGCTCCTGAATTTATGTATATATAAATTAATTGACGATTAATTTTTTAAAAATAAAATAATTATGTTCTTAATAGTGAATGTATTACCTGTTACGGGATCTCGTTGTTTAATGTTTATGCAATATCCGTCTTGTCCCTTCCAGAATATTAGCGGATATTGGAGAGCGTCATATGGACGGTGGGTATCAACAATGAACTGAAGATTATTATTTCTTCTTCGAATCACGATTTGTTGCGTAGCTATACGGTTGCCAACCATGATTCCAGCAACGTCGTCAATAACAAGTGCGTTGTATCTATACATGCTCTCCAGCCCGTATTCTATCAGGATTGATAACAATAGCGTGATTGTCACTTTGTAGCTTGGGCATGTGTGATTTTAATAATTTCAATAATTCATTGTGCTCATTTAACAGAGAGTCCAGCTCGCTGACGACGCGTCTGGCAAAAGGTGAATTGAGGTTATTTTAGTCGCAACGTGCATTCACGCGATTGGCAAGTACGCGTTCGGAGTTCTCGCCACCCATAAAGTAAATTTGTAAAAATTTATGAGATTCGTTTGATATTGGTACCAATGAGCCCACTTTGTGATAAACTTAGCCTTTGATTTTAAATGTGTAATAAAATTGTTGACCGTTTGCAGCAATATTTTGAAATATTTCTATTGCTCCGAACGATGTCATTTGGAAACATGAATTGAATTTGTGAATTGACTTTAGGAACAGGCTTTAATCTGGATCCGTACCGATAAGTAAGCCGTGCAGTGGTTTAGGTGGTGTTTCAATTTCCGTTAGTTGCACTTTTCCTGATGAGCAACACATTCCGACTGGATCACTTTTAAATTTAAGCGCATGACAATGTGGTCATTCCTTGTCCAAAGTACCAATGACTACTTTGAAATGAGCATAATATTCAACTTCGGGCTCATACTGGGATGCTAGTCGAAGGAATGCATCTGATGTAAATGCTCGAAGTACTTGTTGGCGTTGTTGGTCAATTTCTCTACGTCTGTTGACTACAAATCTGCGCATTTCTCTTCGTTCTAATCGTCTTTGTTCATTTCGTTCATCTCGTGCCTCTTGAGATTGTGATTCATGTAACTGCGCCATGCCCACACGTACATCTGCATTGTTTTGTTGGATTCGATCGTCTGATCTTTGTGCTCTTCTATCTTGCATGACTCTAGATTTGATTGTTCGACGACTCAAATTGGACCTATTGTGTCTTGCTGGCATTGTTGACTGTACCTACATAGAACATACGAATAAATATTTTTATTGGTTATGGTTCATTGGTTATGGTCATGTTAATGTTGCTATGAACAGCAACATTGTTTATGGTCATGGCAACAATCTTACAATTTTAAAAGCAAAAGGGGTTATTTTTAAGTCAATTGTATGTATTTGGATATATATTTTGCGATATCTTATCGATATCTATCTAATTCAAAGCAATGCTAGAAAGAAAATATTTTTTGATTTAGTACACTAAAAGGGGGACGCCCATTTTCGGCCATGGAACGCCCAACAATGTGAATTTGTTAAAAAATTATATCTTTATTTATGGTTATTAATCGCGGTATTCATTTATCCTCAAACAATGGGAATATTTTTGCACAAATTAAAAGTACCGGAAACATAATAATAAAAATTAGGTAAATTATTATGTCATTAGTTTGTGAATAAAAAAAAGTGTTGCCAATCACAAAACACATTTAAAAAATCGATTCTCTTTTTCGATCGATTATTTACGGTGTCATCATTACAGTGCTAATATAATTTTTAAATAATTATGATGTTACGATAATTAAACAAGCGAATTACTAGCTGATTTCCAATGAATTCTTTAGAGAGTAACAAATGCTACGGCACAATTTAACTGTTAATCTTAACCGATCTTCTTTGAAAACAGATAAGAACTGTTATTCTTATCTGTTTTTAAAGAAGATCGGTTAAGTTATTCTTATCTGTTTATAACAATACATTTAAAATAGAATCATGTTATGATAACGAAACAAGTTAGTACAGTTCCAGCTGATTTACCATGAATCCTTTAACCTTTTGAGCGCCAAAGTCGCCTATACTTGACCAACACCTGCGGGCCCTGAGCGCCAACGACGTCTATAGTTGACAAAAAACCCGGCTCCGAAAAATATGAAATATAGATATTGGAAAATTATTACAGGTATTTTAATTCTACACTCCTCAAAATAGGAATAACCCAGCAACATGTGAGTATAAAAAACAAGTCTTCTAGAGCCACAAGTACTAAGAAACATTGAACTAATAAAAATGGATTTTTATCTAAGCAAATAATATGTCCTGCACGCCAAAGTCGTCTATGGTTGACCGCTAGTGTCAAACGCGGGTGGCATAGATTTCTTGAAAACTATCAAAAATTCAGCTCAATGGTGTTTTTTGATTGATTGGTGAACAAATATGTTTATTTATTCCATGACCAAGATTTTAGTATTATAAGGCTGATTTACCTAGTGCGAATAATTATATACAATTGTTGATTAATGAATAATTATGTACCTTTTTTAATAATAATACAAAATTACAATTAATGTTCTTTTTACTTAGGGTGTGAAGAGCAATTTTTCATTTTGTGTTGTGCCATTTTCTTTCTCAGTCTCAAAATCATCTAGCAGTATCAGCATCATATCAAATCCCCATTGTCATAAGAGTGTAAGACTTTTCTTCTGTGCGTCACTTGGCCTACGCCTTCCCCGACACATAAAATATTATGAATCGATGTCTGTATATTTCGGTTAGATCGATTTTGAAATCGATACACAACATTCTAAGAATGTTTCAAAAAGGAAGGTCAGCTACGCTGTTGTCGTCCAGTCGCGACAGTGTCGTCATTAGGATGGAGAGTAGTGCTGTGGTTTACTACTATTTTATTGTTATTGTTTAAAAATACACTTAAAATAGAATTTAAATAAATAAAGGAAAATACATTTTAAAAAGCGAGCAGAAGCACCTCCAAGATTATTCTCTTTTTTATGGAATTATTAATCGAATAATAATCGAATCGATATTATGATGTTATGATAATTAAAAAAGCGAATTAGTAGCTGATTTACTATGAATTCTTTAGAGTATAACAAAATGCTGCTGCACAATTTAACAGTAATTGTTATCTGTTTTAACAATACATTTAAAATGGAATCATGTTATGATAATTAAAGAAGTGAATTTTTAGCTGATTCACCATGAACTGTTTAGAGCATGATAATACGCTAATCCACATTTTAACTGTTCTTAAAAATACATTGAAAAAAGAATTTAAATAAATAAAAGAAAATATATTTTAAAAAGCGTGTAGAACTTAAAGCGCCTCATATATTACTTTTTTTATTAAATTACTAATCGAATAAAAATCGATATCGTTTCATTGTATTTATGCACAGATTAAACTGTGTATTTATGTTAGTTATGTGGCAACATCAAATCTGACAGCTAGGAAATATGTCATGCGAATTGGGAATGAAAATGAAATCACAATTCAACAAGTAAAAAGATACTAGAGAATTCACAACTAAATAGTCGCAATTGTGTTATTTTGTTTGTTATTTTTCAAATAAATTCTCAAGAACTCATATGAAGTGAGATTGTCGATCACATTATAGTGTGACAACAGTTAAAAGTAAGTGTTTAACAGTTTTAATTTAATAATTCTAGTGCTGATATTTGATAGTGATGAATGAATGAAATGATGAAGTTGTTTTATTTTTTAACATATGCACAAGCTATATCTGACAAACATAATAGCTTATTTATAACATGGCGATAAGATTAGCTAGCTAACACCAGATAGTTACAAAATGGACAATTTTTATCAAATACCAAGAAATGAGAAAGTTGATTTTTAATTGTTTTTGGACTACTGGTAGGCAGTCAGTCCTTAATTATTAAAAATATAGGGCATTAAGTTTTAAGTAACATTTACCTACATTTGAGTTTAAAGTAAACAAATCTATTTTATTTTGTTCACTTTGTCTTATTTTTTTATTTAATATTATTTCAGTTGCCATCGTCATCGCGTGTCATGATTGCTGGCAAAGGACTGATAAAGCAGCATCACGTTAAACTTTAGAACGGGAACCATCTGAATCATCTAGTCCGTCCTCGTTGCAATCTAAAGTGAGTAATATATTGAACCTAGAACAACAAATCTTAGATCATACGTCGTACAATATACTGCTGCCTAATTTTGTAAGACCACCACTCACACAAAATCAATGTTTTTTCCTGGTTGTAACTATTCCAATCAACTCACAGTTCCATCAACATTGCGGGTATGTCTTTTTGTGAATACAATTACTATGTACCTCCAGAATGTAGAATCAGTAACTACCATTTAAGTAGTAAATATTTTATATGTATTTGAGTTTAAAGGAAACAAATCTATTTTATTTTTATTTAGTTCACTTTTTCACTTTTTTATTTAATATTATTTCAGTTGCCATCGTCATCTCGTGTGTCATAATTGTTGGCGAAGGTTTGATAGAGCAGCATCACATTCAACTGCAGAACGGGAACCATCTGAATCATCTAATTCATCCTCGTTGCAATCTGAAGTCGGTAATGTATTGCACCCATATTCAAACATTCTAATTTCAATAGAGAATGAAGCTGGGTATTTCCACCTGCTTGGGACACTGTAATTAATAAAATTAAAACTAAACCCAAGCATACCATGCAAGACTTCAGGACAGTAAGTTCATTCTGCGTAGATCGGACCATAAATAGTTATTAAAAAGCTGAAGTTACTCCAAGTTAACACTGATTTCGGTACACCAGTCACCTCAATCCCCCATGACCATGTGTGCTGGAAAGCACCCGAAAGTCGGGAATTAAAAATCAAAGAAATTAAATGCGATAACATCGGTAAAATTAGTTGTTAAAAAACTGTATTTGTGAAAATAAAAACTTTTATATCTTAAAATTCCCGACTTTTTTTAAACCAATTTCTTAACCATTTCATTCCTTTAATTGTATATTATCATATCTATTTGCTTTTATATGTGGGCACCCATGGCCGAAATGTCTATGAAGAGTGGGCATTCCTCTTTAGGCTTTAAATGCAATAAGAATTACACACACGAAAACATTTATTTACTATAAAATTTATCTTATATTTTACGCAAGTGCGACACAAAATGTAAGATGGTTGAAAATTATATTAATTTATGTTATAAATATGTTAAATTTTAAAGAACAAAAACTGCCGTTATCTTATAGTAAGGTGACGGCTATATTAGGTAGTCTATGACGTTTAGTAAGGTAAAGACGCTCCTGGACCTGATAATTCCTAGAATATTACCGTCGTTTACATCCGACCTCAATAATATTTCAGCACTTAATTTTTACCTTATGGTAAGGTAATGCTAGTCGTGGATCCTATATTTCTCAGAATAATATCTTAATCTACATTGGTCTCGAAAATCGCTCAGCACTTAATTCCTTCGTATAGTATATCTATTAACGTCACTGCGTTGCTAGCGATACATGTTACTAGCAACGCAAACTTGTAAAGACAAAACAAAAAAAAACTTTTATATGTTCCGCAATATGTTGTAACATACTCAGTATAATTTCGTATTTCTAATATCGAAAAAGATATTTTAAAATCTTCGATCAATAGTCTATGTCATATTTAATGCATTCCTTTTCTGTCAAAAGAAATAAATACATATATTCTTCAACATCACATTTTGGCGGTATATAAATGACCAAAAATTTTTCGCTACGGTGTACCGTCGTTCAAACAATCTCAAATAAAGTTGCGTCCACATTATCCATGGAAACGCGTTTCAATCGAGTCTGGAAAATGCAGATAAGTGCAAATCTCCTTGTTTGCGTCCATACTCCCGATCACATGGCAGTATTTTGTAGTTTGGCGGAAAAAGTTTACCATTATGTATTGAACTATTGAGACCTGCCTCTGTAATAGCAAATAGATCGCACGAAGAATTAAAAAGACTGGTATAAAATCTGCTGTTTTAGTCCCCGTACATTCTAATTATAGTAAAATGGGTTTATCAGTGTTGTCTCCGACTCGCCGTTGTTTTTTGGGTTGACCCAACCACACCCATTTGTTGTGCTGAGTATTTGTTGGCTAGCAATCAGTAAAATTAATTTTCCCTTACCCCTCCTCAGGAACTCCT